TGTTTTAATAAATTTTCAGGTAATAACATTTATTTCAATTTTATAATTAGAAAATCAACAAGTATACAAATTAGGTAATATAGTAAGATTTAGGAGTAATTAAGCCTTTAAATTTTCTAATTATTATATAAAAAACTCTACTTTTTATAAGTATGTGTACATTTGTGGAAGAGAAGATTTAATTTAGAAATGATTTATATCAGTCATAAGTAAAGTAAGATATACTGTTTATCATAGTCTGCAAGTAAAGCCTTTTATGTGATATTTTCCATTATACTTGCTATACATTGATAGATCTGCAGGAAAATTCTACCAGATTGAATTCCTTATATATTACATCCATTTTATTAATGTTATATGTTTATAATGTAATAATCTTATAATGTGTTTATGTATCATATGTTGTGAACAAGTTTTATAAGTATTATAGTACTTATTTAAAGCAGTTAAACAATTTTTGAACTCATTTTATTGCTTCCTTTGCAAATGGATATTGCAATGGTTACAGTATAATGTGGACTTTAAAAGAACATGTTTAACGAATTACAATAGCTTCATTGTTTGAGTTACTTCATAAAAAACCAGTTTTTTCACGAATAAAATGCAATTAATTAGGTACTACAACAGGAAAAAATTTGATTTTTATGTGAAAATAAGTTGGAAGTATGTATTTAAATTTGAACAGTACTATATTCAGGAAAAAGAATATTTGAAAGCTTTATTTACTTTATTGAATCAGATATTGGTAAAATGATTGTTTGTATTGTTATATATGTATTGTTATAGTATACACTAAAGATACATACATTATACAGAAATATTAGAATATAGTCATTGACTGAAAATTACATGGTGCAAATGATATTCATTTATTATTATTTATCTAGTGTCTACTGTAATAAAATAAATTTATAACATAGAATATTAAACATTTTAGACATCATTTAATTTTAAAAAATTATAAGTAAAATGAACAAGAAATTTTCGTGTAATTAGTGAGTGGCATCTGACAATTGACACAGTAGATAAGATAACATTGATAAGATACTGAATGCATTAAGAAAATAATAATTGAAGAAAAGGAGTAGAAAGGAAAAATACAAATACAGAGTCTTACCTGTAACGCGACGCACGATTTTTCACAAATAAAGTGCACTTTTCTTATGTCTAGTCACGTGTTTACATTCAGTAATCTCTTCGGTATCAAATAATGTTTACTCTACTTTAAAGTCAAATATGTACGACGAAAAGCTAATGTATTTCACATTTCCACTACTGTAAATCGAATAATATATTAGTAAAAATATCATGTAATATGTGTTCTGAATTCGTCTCGATGTCCACAAAAATATGTTAAAAAAAAAAAAATTTATGTTCCTATTTGTAAAACCCAAGGTGACCTTGATTTCGCCATGAAAACAAACTGTTTTCGAAATTTTTTTTACTGATATTTATTGTACACTCCATACCCTGCAACTCTTGTTGTAAACTTTTTTTTGTCAGATGGCTGCAAGTGGGTGAAAAATCGTGCGTCGCGTTACAGGTAACACCCTGTATATTGAAGTAAAAAAACATATTTTAAATGTTTATTTGAGACAAATGTATGCAACAATATTGTCATGTCTGTAATAAGATTTTGAATAATCTTGCATAAGATTTAGTTTATTTCACTTTAACATAATGTTTCACTTTTAATTATCCAGGCAAGAAATAAATATTTTCGTTTTATCATTGAAATAAATATTGAGAAAAGGCTAACAATGCTCTACTTTGATAAGGAGGATTAAACTTTACGTTGATATAAGTTTGTTATATAGTTTACTAAGTTTAAAATTTTATTTAAAGAATCATATAC